GCAACCCCTCTTTTGGGGGCCCCCTTGGGTGAACCCAGACCTCCTCCTACAACCGACCTGAAAGAAACGTCCTTGAAAGCATCCGGCAGTGGCTGGCAGACTTGATGGAAGGAGTTGTTCCTCATCCGTGGCGGCTTTTGAGAGACGGACGGAGCCTTCCCAACCCTTCGTCTTCACGGGCAGCCCGGGTCCCTTCCCCACTCAAACTTCTTCGCATCCATCCCAAAGCCACAAATCCCCTGCCTCCCCTCCCGCTTGGACCCAGGAGGGCTCACATGGGCCTCCCGCCACCGTCCAGGCAGCCCAAGGGCCGGGCAACACATTGCCACCTTCCAGCCGGGGGTGAGTTCCGCTGTCAGCACAGCCTTCCCTCCCGCTTCAGGCCCCCTCGCTCAGCAGGTGAGCCAGTCCAGGGCGGGAGAGGCGGCTTCTGACAGAGGTGAAGCCATTGTTGTCCCTATCCGGCTCTCCCGGGGCAGCCAGATTCATGGAGGAGGAATGAGTGAAAAAGTCCCAGGATGCTCCCACAGTCAGGCACGCGGTTCTCAGTCATGAGGGGAAGGAGCTCCGAGCGTCCGCTGATCTTCCAGGCGAGGGGGATGCCGACCCCCGCCCAAGACCGGCCAGAGCAGCCCAGCTCCCACCGGGGCCTCCTCTCCCTGGTCTCGGCCCGTGTGGCTTCCCAAATGTCGTGCCTCCCCCACTTGTCCCCAACGCTCTCCGGGGCCCAGAGGTGGCTGGGCAGTTTCTGGAACGGCCTCGGCTTCAGAGGCCATCCCTTCCCCCAGCACTGGGCTCCAGGGCCACCCGGCACCGGATGAACCACGGGGTGACATGCTGGGGAGGCCCGTCTCAGCAACCAGACGCTGCCATCCAAGGAGCAGAGTGAAAATTGTCTGACGTTTGAGGAATACAAAGGGAAGCAAAGGCGGAACCATCCTTAGAACAGGGCGTCTGTACAAGGGGAGGAAGGGAGCCTGGCCGTCGGCTACGGTGGTGGCAGCTGCTGGCGTGTGGTGGTCTGGCATTTGAAAAATGAGACGCAGGGAAACGTCTGAGCAAATGCCAGCCCCGAGAGAACTCGGGTAGCAGTATTTATTTAAGAAAATGCAAGTACAAAATCAAAACAATGACCTCAACCTCAGCAGGGCTGATAATAGACTGCGGAAAGTCCCGTGAGAATATCCAGGCACCAAAGGTCTCATGGGAATGGCTCGGCTGGGTACTGTGAACTTTCACCGACATACCTGGCCCATCTAAGCTTTGCAGACCCAAACAGGACCAAACTCCCATCATAAAGGCACTACTGCCCCCATGAGGAGCGTTTGTGAAATCCCCAGATCTTATACAAAACTGTACGAGGACTTACAGAATATGATGATTACCACATTCCCTCCTTTTTTATTTATTCATAGATAGGGGGTGTTTTAGTGGCATAATACACAGTTCCCTCGCAACTTGATCAAGTACGTTGAAAAGCTGAGGTACACATTTGAAATAGATTAGGAATACATTGAATACAGCAACATAACATAATAAGTATAATAACAATTATTACAACTAATTGAAGCAATAAACGTAACCATGAGCTGTCAGGAAGCCAATCCCATAGCAAAGCCCAAAGTGACTTATTGAAGCCATCTTTTCCTGCTTCGTGTTCAGCTATGCGGTCTTCCATATCATGAACAGTTCTTGTAATGTTAGGCTCATAATTATGTATAAAAATACAACAATGTGAATGAATTAAAGCACAAACTCCTCCTTTAGCAGCTAACATTATGTCTAAAGCATAACGATTTTGTAAAGTAACTTGGCGAATTTCAGACACTTCTTCATTTAACATCTTAATATTCTTAACAGTATCATTAAACATAGCAACAGTAAAATTATTTAAAATATGAATATCTCTATAGTTCATAGCTATTCCCAAAGGTGGGAAAGAGAGTCTGTGTAAGGTAACTTAGGTAACTCCAATTGACACCAATATTGTCCATAGTCTGAAGCAGAAACATTAAACAGGATCAGAGTTGTAGCACAGGCTGAAGATATAATATCCTTATCAGGTCCCGAGTAAAGAATGTCTTGACCCTTATGCCAGGACCAATATGCTGGAAAAATCAAAGGATGCCGCTGTTTGCAGATCAATTT